AAAGATGCTTAGAGCATGAACTAAAAGTTCAAGCAACATCTTTAGGATGGGTCAGTCCGGCATCCTATTATTTCTAGATAATATCTGCCCATGTGCGGATGCGAACACACCGTCATTGACTATGAGACTAAGTCAAACATCCAACACACACTAGTCTCACATGCATTAACGATATCCCACTCTCGTTAATACTCGACTATGGACATTTAGATAAATATTTATTTCAAGATGTTAGTCTCATCAGCAGAAGAACACTATCTGATAAACATCTTTTAAATATAAATCTAGGAATATAATATTTGTTTACATTAGCATGAGATGTGTAAACATATTATATCTGCCTATACATGATAGAATAACGATAAACAGTTGGTCATCAGGGCACAACTCCAACACTATCCACTTTCAAAGGAGTTCCAATAGTGGAAGTGATAGCGAAGAGTGCTGTCTGATCATGAAGATGAATAGGGAGATGTGGTATGGAGATCCAAACAGGAACAATAGGGGAATCTTCATCCGGCTTAAGGTTGGGAGACCATTTAGTGACCACCATGACCTCCTTACCAATCGTCCAGGATTTCCGGAAGAAGAAGCGTTGATAGTCCTCGTCACGATCGAAGTTGATGAGCATGCTATTGGAGTGGAGATCTCCAACGGGAAAACCCCCAGCGAAGCCTAGCCGATCTAAGAAACTTTTCACGACTGAGACTGGAGGTTTCCGCCGGAATCTGCCGACCACCGCATATTTGAAACGCTGCGAGAACCTTTCCACATCTGATTTAGAGAAAGAGACCGACGGACAGCCCTTGAACATCTGCTTCTCTTGAGGTTTGGTGCACGGTAAAGAATCCTTGAACAGGTCGGAGAAGAGCTTGGATTTTGCCAGAACTTTTCCATTTGCTGGCGACGGTTCAATAGGGTCGGGGAGATCAACCTTATATATATATAAATATATATATATATATATATATATATATATATATATTAAGTCGTTTTTGGGTTAGTTCTTTTTATTTAATTTTAGGCATTTTTAATATTTTTAGTCTTTAATTTTTAGTTGTTTTAGCTTAGTTTTATTTTAAAATTCTTATTTTTAAATTCTTTCAAAAATATTAGCTTTTTAATCATTTTTACATTATATTATTTTTATTTTATTTTTCCTAATCCAAATTATCAGATATCTTATTTTTGGAGAAAATTGCAGCTAAAGGCCGAATTGAAGTTCAAGTTTGAAAAGAAGAGATTGATTTTGGGCCAAAGCTCAAGAACAAACATAATAGAGAATCAGCCCACCAATCATCTCACTTTATCTTCACGCAAGAAAAAAAAAAGAACGGAGAATTGAAGTCTATGACTTCTTCTTCTTCGCGATAAACCAGCGCCCAGCTTCTTCAACGCTCCTCCGTCAGTTTCGCCTCAATCAATAGCAACGGCACTCTCTACTCACTCAAATCTACAACGGTAAACAATCCTCTTGCTATAAATTGATGATGATTAAAGCTTCAGAGGAGGGGGGAAATATCACGCAGAGAGCCGCGGCTCTAGGCCGCGGCAACTGAGATTGAAGCCGCGCACCAGAGGAGGAAGCAGACGGCGGCGGACCACTGCTCGCCGGCGGACGACGATGGTTGGCAGCAACTTTTCTTCAAGCTCCAATCCTTTAATTTATTCATCTTCTTCAATAAAGCTTGTTTCTCCAATTTTGTTCTCCAATCCTTTGTAAAGTGTTGTTTTTAGTTTAATTTTTACATTTTTGTTTATTTGTTTGTGTTAATTTCAAAAATCTCAAAATGGTTGGTGTTCTTTTATGGGTATTTTCTTTAATGTTTATATATATTCCCTTATGAATGAGAATTGATTCTTTCTTGTTTACTTCAATTATTGCACAAGTTGTTGTTGAATTGATTGAATTGTTTCAAATTCATAAGTAGGTTTTATGTGGAATTCGGTTTTTGTTGAAGTTATTTTAGCTCCATAAGATAGTTAAATAAACTCCAAATTCATACGTGTTTGTGTTTCTTTGTTGTGCCTTGTGTTCGTTGATTTTAAGGAATTTGGACTTCTTAGCCCCATAAGTTGATTCATTTTTCTTAGAATTCGTTATAAAGTGATTTTGTTATGTTATGTTTTTGTTTTCCATTTTCTTTAAATTGAGATTGTTTAAGTCCAATAAACAATTCTTGATTTATTGAAAATATGTTGTGTTCTTCTATGTGAATAGAAAAAACGTCATTGGTTTGAGGAGTTCATGGAAATCTATGAAATGTGCTCATCATTAGGAGAAAAAGTTTATTAAAATGCATAGGGTATTGGCGGTTTGTGAATAGATTATGCATGAGAGTTAGAATGAAAAAAAATTCGCTCTTTTATAAACTTTTTCTATAGTGGAAGTATGTTTTCATGCTTGATTGGTGAGTTGGGGTTCTAAGGTATATTTCAAAATGGGCCTTTGAATTGCATGACTCCGGGCCGTGTGGAGAGTTGACAATCCTCCATATCGTGGTTAAGGAAATGAATCGACTCGGCCTTTGATTGTTTTTCCTATTCTTAAGTGCGTAAGTTATGTAATATATTGTCTACGTGCCTATTATACGTGTAATGTTCAACTCGTGTTTGTTCTCTTTTTTCATTTTGTCTCGGGTTCTTGGCGGTGTTTCTTGGGTTACCTTTATTGGAGAAGTAATATCTTTTGAGCTTATTTCCCCCATTTTATCAAAAAACCAAAAAAATAAGAAAATACATAAAAACCAAAAATATTTACTTTTCATTCAAACCCCCCCTTTTTTTGTTTATATTTATATAAGTTTTTTTACTAAGTTATATTATAAGTTCTTTGTTTATATAAGTTATATTTATAAGTTTTTATATTTATTTAATTATAAGTTTTATTATGCGTGTAGTAGTTAATTTTATTTTTTTTTGTGACAATGTGTTTGCATGCTAAATTGGTTTTAAAAAGTACAAACTTTCTCCGTGGGATCGACCCTTACTTGCCCTAGCTATAGTTTTTATTTGATTATATATTGGGGGTTAGTTAAGGATATTTTATAAATTTTTAATTTGTTTTGGACCTTACGACCAGTACACAACAAATTTTGGCGCCGTTGCCGGGGAAAGTTTTGTATGAAATCACTTTAGTATGCCGTTGTATTCTTTGTTTTTTTTGTTAGTGAGCATGTGGTAGTAGCCTCTTTTCTTGAGTTCTAATTTGTTTTAAATGCCTATTCGTAGAATTGAGGATACTTGTGCTAGATTGAACTAAAATCAGCCTTATTGACTTCTTGAATGCTGAATTTGTGCATCAAATGATGTTTTTTATGAAATTTCAGGCCTATTTTTCATAAAAAATTCTATTTTGACACTATTTTCTGCATATATACTTGCTGATTGAGTATCCATTGGTCATATATGTTGCATTTAAGCTGATTTCTTCATTTGTTTTATGAGTACAACATGTATGGATGTCTTATGTAAGAGTTGTGTGCTTTTGAAGCATATAAAGCTAAATATGCAAGAAAAAACTATTCTGTACTTGCTGATTTTTTTAGAAATCTGCACTACTATTGCTGCTTTTGTCCCTTAGAGTGATCCATATGCTTGAAATTTGAAATGTCATTGCTTTATCTTGCTTGGGGACATTATTTTGAAGCGTATCATGAGGTTTCTATGCTGATTTTGATGCCTAATGTGTTGATTTTTGAGAAAAATCTGGCAATTTGAAAGAAAAATCTACAATTTTTTTTGAAATGTCCAAGCTGTTTTTTGTGTTCCAAGATGCCTACATGCTTAATTTTGAAGTTTCATTGTTAAAACTTGCATGGGAACTAATGTGGGAGCATTTAGCATGAGTTTTCAATCTTGTCTTGATCCTTATATGCTCCTTATTGCTCTTAAAATGAAAAAATTGCAGAAAATGTGTTTCAAGAAGACTTTGAAGCCTATTTGTGCATCTTTAAATCTGATTTTTCCATTCTTAATTGAACATAAACTGCTATTCTCAGAGCTAAAGTGAATTCTTGATGCTTATCCAGTTTTCATCTTTTTTGGGGTGTTTTAAAGAAAAACATGTTCTTATCTTACTATTTCATGGTTTAAGTGCATATGCGTTGGTGAGTACTAAGTTTTGTCGAGCCATTGACATTAAACCGGGCAGCTTATGGGAGGCAACCCACCTACTGTTTCCGTTCTTAATTTAGTTTTTTCTATTGTTTTCTTGATTATCTTTTGCTAATAATAAACAAAACAAAAAAAATCAGAAAATTAGAAAACAGAAAAAAAAATCAGAAAAATGAAAAAACTTCATCATCAAGAGTACTCAGAATACTGCTGCATTTGCTGGATTTAATGGTTTATTTTGCTCCATGTATGCTCCTAACCATTTATTTGAGTGAATATTCAAGAGCTACTAAGTCATTGGTAGAAGCATGTCCTTTGGAGTAAAATCTGCACAAACAGGTGTGAAATCTGATCCAAACCAGTAGTTCCAGCTGTCCCAGGTTTGCACAATGAGAATCTGCACTATTAAGTCATGATTCCGCTTGCACAAGTGAATAACCTTTCCTTTCAAATCTGATTCTTGAGCTTAAATGGTAAATATCTGCATGGTAATGTGCAAAATCCTGATCCAAAACAGCAATTTCAAACACCTAAAGGTTGCGTTGTTGTGAGTTTTCAGTTCCTTAAGGCCTGGGTGTTAAAAAGTAGTCTGAAAATTGAGACAAGTGCATTGTTTACAACTGATTTTCGGATACTAATGAAAAGTTCTGCATTTTGAAAAGTTATTTTTGGACTTGTAAACTGATTTTTTGAGTGCAAAATGCAAATTTTACACTTTTTACAGCTTATAGGTGCTGAAATAGGAAAAAAATATGCAATCTTTTCTTGGTGTTCAATCTGATTTTTGAGTTCACCAGATGCATATGTGCTGAATTATGATGTTATTAGATGTATATGAGCTGCTTTGCATGTGCTTGATATGACTTTACCTTCTCATATGCAGCATTTTGTTTTGAAAAGTGCAAAAAGGCATAAGAATTGGTTTCCAGAACCAAATTTGAAGCTTGAAATTTGCATTTCTTTAAATCTGATTTTTATCTCTTCAAAGCTAAAAGACTTGGTCTTAGTCATGTTTTTGCAGATTTTAGGTCCATCGAGCACTTTAAGGAGGGAAAAGTGATGAGTTTTTTTTTTTTTTTTATCCCAGTGGCAAACCACCAAGTCTGGTGGGGTAAGGTCTAGGCAACCCTTACCGAGTTTTATTAAGATAGAAAGGAGCCACAAAGTGAGGGGAGGACTATACCAAGGCCTAACGCCAGCCCCTCATACGGAAGACAAACCTTCCGGGGATACAATAACAAATAAGGGGGGTAAGGGAACCTAGAACGGCTTGACCAAGGCCACAATAAGGTCTAAACAACAAACAAGCTAACTAAGGCTTGATCAAGGCCACAATAAGATCAAAACAAACAACATAATAGTCTAGGGCTTGACCAAAGCCACAATAAGGTCTAAAACATCAAACCAACACGACAATCCAAACTCACACCAGGCCAACACGAGCATAACCACACTAAGACAAAAAAGGTCATACGGAGAGGCATGGCAACACAAAGGAGTGGTAATCATCTCCAACGGGAGGAATAAAAACCCATCCGAGTCAACCACTCCTTACTCCACAAACCATACATACCAAGGCTAGGAAAAGATATTATAAGCGCACCCATAATATCCAAACTTCTCCATAACCCCAGTATAACCAGTAATGGTTTAAAAAATCTTCAAACAACGCAAACACAATCCCCTAGAAAGTAGGAAAAGGAAAATGAGCACCCCCAAGATCCAAGTTCTCCATACCCTCAGGTAGAAAGGACTGCCTAACCAGGAAATGGCAACACAACTACATGCCAATAAGAGGCTCAGGTTAGTATGAGCTAGAAGCTGAATAGCTATGAACCTGCTGAATATCATGTTGACCAAGGAGCTGACATTGTGCAGGTAGATCAAAAATACCTAAAAAATCCATACTAGAATGAAGGTGATTACAACACCATTGGACCAGATAATTAGTAACACGATTAGTATGACCATCACAAAAATCAGTAGAAGAACTGCAGCATGAAAGTAAAAAGGCCAACCTACTGATATGGTCCATAGTAAAAAGTGGGATAGAAAGATTAAGGAGCTGTAGCATCTCCTTAAAATCTGCTTCCCAATAAAGGGAAGTATACCCAGAAGTTAAACACCATTGCAGTATGATCAAGAGGATATCCATAGTGGCTCCTAGGGCTGAAGCATGTCCAACACTGCCATAAGCATACAAGAATATACCTTTGGAGTCCCTAACCACAACACCAGTACCAAATTGATGTTCTTTGGAGAACATAGAGACATTAATTTTCACACTGTTTGGAGGAGGAAACTGCCACATCTTAGTAGGAGCCTGATAAGAACTGGACAGATGGCCATTTAAATTGAAAATAGCCTTCCAATCAGAAAGATTTTTACGGAGGTTAGGCCATTTCCTAGCTGCAGCTTCCACAGCATCCTGCCGTATTTTAAAAATAGTCCTTGCAACATTGATTTGTTTCTCCCCATATTTGATAGAAGTATAATGAACCCAAAGTTCCCAAAGAATGAAAACAGGCATACATCGTTTTAATAAAACCCTAACAGTGTACTTTTTAGGATGTGATTTAGCTCCCCACCAAACATTAAGATACTGCTTAACAGTGGATATGCCTTGTTCATTCAGACCAAACAGCCCACAGAAATATTTCCACACAGTTTTAGCCACCTCACTTTGTGCAAATACATGCTCAGTAGTCTCACAAGTGGGTTTGGTACAACAACTACACTTGGAAGGGAGGACATACCCAAACTTTTGCAAAGTGGAATCCAGGGGGAGTTTCCTCAGTAGAAGTCTCCAGCCCAAAAAGGACATTTTAAAAGGAATATAAGTGTGCCAACAATTCTGTAAGTAGATATCAACATTACCACAAGGCCTTAAGAAATCTTTGACAGCCTTCATAGAGAAAACTCCATTGGATTTAGGTTGCCAGAGAGCCTGATCCGCATTATTTGAGCCAAGAGAAGAAAGATCTACTTGAAAATGAATGAAAAAACCAGGGTCCATGAGGGACTGTAAGTGGTCAAAGTTGAAAGATGAATTGATTAAGTTCTCCTTGAGAGGTTGTTGCCAATATTTACCATGTGCCTGATTAGTCACCCTTGCCAATGGTCCCAATCCAGTCCAATTATCCCACCAAAAACTCAAAGAAGCATCATAAACCCTCCAGGTGATGTATGGCTCAATCCTGGATCTAACGAGAGTCATTCTTTTCCAAATATGAGATTCACCATATTGCCAAATTT